CGGAATACTAACCGGCAAATGACCCGATACTTCAGCAGAATTCTCTAACAAGGACTCATCATTCGTAATGTACTCATTACATCCTGAATCAATGATCCATTCAGACTGTGAAAGAAAATTACCTGCCATGTTCACTTGAGGATCGAATGATGTTGACAAGTTGGGTTGTCCCCCATTGTTGTTAAGAAACTCAAGGAGCTGCTGGACTTGCTCGGAATTTAGCCCAGGAATGCTAACGCCAGCTCCACTTGAGGTTTGCGCTGCACGAGGGTTGTGAGATTTCCCGGCGCGCTCCCTCTCACGTTCTCTCGGACGAGAATCGCGATCACGATCGGCTTGACGAGGCTTCCGCTCTGGCCAACCTATGATCTCATAACAGTTCTCTTTTGTATGTCCAGGTCTTTGACAGTGGCTGCATCTCACGCTCACTCGCTCTTTTTGATCAGCGCTACTCGACCTCTCTTCGCGTCTACCAACATCCGAAGCTCCACGATCTTGGCGGACTTGAAAAGCAGCGGCGTCAACAGCTGGGCGGCGATTCGCTGCAATTTGCCTATGCTGTTCTTCAGTGGATACCAGGCGATAGGCCTCACCAAGACTCGGAGTGGGTTTCATAGACAAAATCTGAGTCTTCACGGTCCCAAAAGCGTCTCCTAAACCCATAAGAAAATCGAACAGCCTGTCGTTTTCCATGTTGCTCATTACCTTCTTGTCGATTTCACAAGTGCACTGTCCGCAAGTGCAACGCGGAATGGGAGTGATCGTCAGCATCTCTTCCCAAATTGCTCGCAACTTCGTGAAAAAAGTGGACACCGTGAGCTTCTCCTGCCGCAGAGTGCTCATCATCGTGCGAAGTTCGTACGCTCTGGGCGCCGAACCACGACCAAAACGTGCTTCAAGATCAATCCACATCTCGCGGGCTGTCTTGGCATAACGAATAGAACTGCGTACCTCCTTGTCCATGGCTGTCTTCAGCCATCCTTTGACGAGAGCATCACACTGAAGCCACGCTTCTTGTAGTTCACCCGGAGTCGATGGCTTGGCAACGCTGCCATCAACGATCCCAAGTTTGTTCTTCGCAATCAAGGCCTCGGTCATATCCGTGACCCACTCTCCATAATTGGAGTCATTCAACAGTTCACCAACGAACAGCTGTCCGGGATTGTCTGATGCTTGAATCTTCAACGCGGCGGGGACGACTACGGGAGGGATTATGACAGTGCCTCCACTGCCGCCGCTAGCATCACCATCAGGACCCTTGCCGCTCATGATGACAACTTAGGGCTTAGAAAGCCAGCTCTGATACCATGAAATATTTGTAAACAAGAACACACAATCGCACAACACAGAGTTTACGTGGTTCTTCTCATTCGGTGTGAATGAGCTTACTCCACGGAGAAGTTATGCTATCTCAGCTTTCATTCATGGGTTGCAGCCGATACACTTACAAGACATTTATATGTAACCCTAATCAACACTAATTCTCCTAGGGTTACACTAAACACGTCGGCCTAGAGGGGAAAAGACAATAAACCCCTTGTAGCCTTACACGACTGCGTACCATGCATAAATGACAACCATTACATTCTCTCACAAACTTGGTCGCAAAACTCAATTTTCCTCTCAATGAAAACGGCGCATAGTTTTCCTATTGCAGCAGTAGTCTTTGTTGTATACGTACGCACTAGATATAATTTTTTTGGGTACTGATATTTCGACGTTTTCTTTCTGATTAATTACGATTCACATCTAATCTAAGCTATATAACATAATTAACATGAAAGAGTTCTCCTATTGAATAATGCATTGGTTGATGACTTGAATTGGCTAGTTTAACAAACTAGAGAATCGACCCGCGGTTTAGGGCAAGACCATAATCGACGACATGTCTGATGCGCTGGAAAAGGTGCAAAGAAGTATAGGAGAAGGATGGATAGTTAATATGCATGCAATTAATCAACAACATCGAGAAGTGGCAAAATATATGCAATACGATCCCTAATCTAGTAATTATGGACAAATGAGTACAGGACTAGGAATCGAAATAATTAACAACATCAATAATGGCCGGGAAGTAGGGGTGGGAAAACGGTTGCGGTTTTGCGGTTAAACCGCAACCGCACCGAATAAGAGCGGTTTGTGGTTAACCGCAAACCGTTTAAAAGGGTCTTTATTCGATAACAGTTAGTGAAATTGGCTCTTTTGCGGTTTGTGGACTAACCGCACACCGCACCGAATAAGTAACTCCACCGAATAACTAACCGCGTAAGAGTATACCCAACCCAAGCCCAACCCATCCAACAACCCAAAATGAATTTTCCAAGTGCATTTTCCGTATTAGAACTTAATGTGGATGGTTTCTTTTGGATGTTTAGAACTTAATTCTGTTTCTGACTTTTTCAGGTGCATTTTCCTTGTTTTAGTGTTAATTTATCAAGTGCATGTTGCTGGATTTTACAAGTTAATTCGGTTTTTGTTGCGGTTTTATTTCATTTCGCGGTTTTTTACACCGTTTAACTCTTAATCGCGGTGTGCGGTTTAAAGTGCAGTTAACCGCAATTAACCGCTAACCGTGATTTGCGGTTAGTGGTTAACCGCAAACCGTTTGCATTGCGGTAACGGTGGGTGGTTTTCCCCTTGTGCGGTGGCGGTTAACCGCGCTTATTCGGTGCAGTTAACCGCAACCGCACCGTTTCCCACCCCTACCGGGAAGAGCTTCAAGAAGTGTTGTGCGAGCTTCAGTTTACATATTATCACTACACATGAAGACTGAAGAGACTAGCTGAGAGTAGGGCGGACTATTTGGTTTTACTCAAAATCGGACCGTATAACTCGGATTGGAACCGGATAACAAATAATTCAATTTTCGAGTTTAGATTTGAGGTAAAAAACCGTTTGAGATCAAATTAAAACCGGATAAAGACCGGATAAGATAGTCCAACACCCAAAACATAACCAACTCCTCACTCTTTGAGTCCTCGGACCACTAAAATCCCTACAAATTCAATCTGAAATCAAGATGAATTGGGACCGGACCGGGTCAAGACCAGACCGGATCGAGATCGGACTGTATCCAATTCAATCTTTGGTCCTTATATTCCCGAAAAGATCGGACTAGGACCGGATCAATTCGGGCCAATTTTAACCGGACTGAACCGTATGGCCACCCCTACTAGAGAGGTTGATCTACACAGAGCCACACGTACGTTACGTTGCATGCATGCATGGACATGTAAACCTCCACGAACTTAATTACTCCCTCCTCTTGGGCTCGAACGAGGGAGCCCGTTTCCCAACTCGGCCCAATATCATTGCTGCTTGGCTGCTGGTCTCTTCTTGATATTCCCACCAGGAAATTGGCGACACAACCAATCGAATATACTTCTTCTTCTTCTTTCCTCGTAATATCCAAACAATCACGAAGACCAGTCAACCTAAAGAAGACATACATAGTACTTATAGACAGCTAGCTAGGCGACCAGCTTTTCACAAGCTAGGTACGTAAGTGTTGTGCCGATTTATTCTTTGGATCATGAATGTTTTGCCGAACAGATCTTAGTATAAATGGAAACGTACGTACAAGAGCAGGAGCTATAGCTAGCTAGATAGCGCATAAAAGAAGGAGAAAAATGACGAGGAGTAAGAAATTATTGCCGGCAGCCGTGACGGTGGCGGTTTTGCTGATCGTTACAATATCGCTCGGACGAATTACATCTGCGCAGGACATGAACTTTCTGTGCAACCCTGTCAGGTACCCGCTCGGGGATCGCCGGCGTCCTTGTGTGTACAGCCTGGTCACTCTCATGTATCAATTCTCGGGCCCGGCGACGCCGGGAGAATGGTACGACTCTTATGACTGCGACGGCGGCCGCTATACTTTGTACGGTTACAGGTGGGCGGACGAGGGCGCGGCGGCGCTCGAGTGCCTTCGCAAGGCCAGGGATATCCTCCGGACAGGCCCGTGCACCGGCCGGATGGGAGGTCGGGCGGCGGGGGAAGGCTGTTACATGAGGCACGAGGCTTACCCCTTTAACGAAGGATAATCGATCGATCAACGACGAAACAAGGGATTGGTCTGGTGGTACGTAGTAGTAACCCTAGCATTTTCGGTAGTACCTGATCTCAAAAGGTAACTCATATCATCCTTATAAAAATAAAAGGAGGATAATCGATCAACTATATGCGTATGTTGTGTGCGCGGTATTTTATTTTTCTAGATTTCGAATAAAGGGAAAATCGATCAACAGAAGGAGTTCGAAAACTCGGTCGTCTGTTTGGGTCGCGATTCAAAGTGAAACGGTGTTGTCTGGTTTATTTGATCAGTTGTTGTTGTTGTTGTGTCCTTAAAGTTGTGTTTCGTTTAATTTAATTTGCAGCTGGGTTTTTGTTGATCCAGCTAGCTAGTTGCTGATTGTCAGAGTTGTGATTTAGCGAGTGGTTAGCAGTGGTGAAGTCGATCAGAGTTCGTGGCTGAATCATGTATACTTATGGTCAAGTCTTTCATTCAATGAAGTTTTTTCTGGTCGGATTACAATTGCATACAATTCCTTCATTGCAATATCACCTCATCTACGCACTTGGCATCGTAGATATACATGCAATGAGTGTGAGTATCATAGTTATGACTTATGAGTGTCATACCATCTACATATTCACCTTAATCGGATCCATCCATTTACGGGTCGTTTGCTTCATGGATTTCAAAAATGAAGGTTTTGGTTATAACCTGGGTTTTATAAAACCATGGATTTACGATGGAATTGGTTAATTATGGATTTGAAACAAACCATTGTTTGTCTATTGGATTTCATGATGGATTTTACTTAATTGGATATATGGGTGTGAAATACAATTGACCTTATTGCCATTGTTTGTCTATTGGATTTCATGATGGATTTTACTTAATTGGGTATATGGGTGTGAAATACAATTGACCTTATTGCCCTTTATATTTTAGATGCAACAAAGCATGGAATAAGATCTATAATGATGAACATAAATGAGAGAAAAAAGTTTAACTTCTTATGATATATACCAAATGAGTTCAACAGTTGACTATACAATAGACTAATCTTCCTAATTAGTACATCATCAACTTGATTTACAATATCATATATGTTTACGGAAGCAATCAATAGTCTTCAACTCATTTTACGAGCTTCTTGTAAAATAGAAAGACTAGCCACTAGCCAGAAGGGCTATGAGAAACTGCATTGGGAAAATGCTCGGAGGAGGGATAGTAAGACCACAGGAAAAGAAATACAACTGATCAGATGGTAGCCATGGGAAGAGTCTCTCTGCTCCTCTTCAACAGGTTGCAGAGATCCTCCCGCAAGCATACAACAACATGAGCTTGGTCCATAATCTGTAGCAAAGAAAGAGGGATTATCCACTAAAAAAAGGGAATATTAACAGAACGCTCAGCAAAGTTTCAATTCACAATGATAAATTCAATCACAAATCAACTCAAAATGTCTACCTGAACAACTTCTCTGTATGCTAAAACAAAATATGAGCACAAGCAATGACATCAACACATGCTTCTATCGTTTATGAATTAATCAATGACATCAAATCCCCTCAATCCCTTATTAAATTAATATCAGTTTCTCTGTATGCTAAATCAGGAAGAAATGCAGGAGAAAAAACAAAAAAGGACGGTCTATCAGCTTCTGTGTGAGATTTGGATTGTCGAAAAACAGAGCTTTCATAAGCAAGAGCAAGAAAGGAACATAACTTTCATTCTAGGGTTCACCATGAATGACAGACATAGATGAGAAACAAAAGGAGAAATTCACACACCTGAGTTGCAGCGACGAAGTAATAAACCAGTGATGGCGATATCTTCGATTGTGTTCTGCTAGTGTCCTCTTTCTCCTGCAGCCTGTGCACCTCACGATTGGTGGATGACACAAAACACGATTGCTTCGTCCTTCTCCCGCTGCCCAGCCACCACTCTCTCTTTGTCTGTCGAATTTGGGGTTTCAGGGTTGGCAATAATAGGTTATGAGAGGATAAGGAAGTAAAAGGTCATCATGGACTTCCAGCCATCACCGAAATCCCATCTATGGAGCTGGAACTTGGAACTCCGTGGGGTTCACGGATTTGGCTCCCAAAAGTCTGTGGGGCCCATGGATTTGATTCCCCTAAATGACACAAACAAACAATGGCTTTTTTCCCCAAGTCCATGAGGAGTTGGATTTAAGACCCAAATCCATCACAAACTCAATGAAGCAAACAACCCGTTAATGGACTTAATCATCGTTGAAGAATAGCCTCAGGCCGAATCCGTGATCTGTAGTCTTCAAAATCCAAATAAAATGGCCTTTCGTCGCCAAAAAAATTACGAAAATGCCATCCGAAAATAAATTGGCCCAAATCGGTGCTTAATGGACTTATCATCCGTGGAGAATAGTATCAATAGACTTCATTATGGGTGGATATAGGCTCGGCCTGATTCCGTGATCTGTAGCCTCCTGAATCGAAAGAAAATGACATTTCGGAAAAATTGCCCGAAATCTGTGATGATACCCCTTTAGAATATGCCAAAAATGGGCCCGGAATAAATTCGCCCGAATCGACACTTAGTGGACTTAATCATCGTTGAAGAATAGCCTCAGGCTGAATCCTTGATCTGTAGCCTTCAAAATCAAAAGAAAATGGCCTTTCGTCGCCAAAAAAATTACGAAAATGCCATCCGAAAATAAATTGGCCCAAATCGGTGCTTAATGGACTTATCATCCGTGGAGAATAGTATCTATAGACTTCATTATCGGTGGATATAGGCTCGGCCTGATTCCGTGAACTGCAGCCTCCTGAATCTAAAGAAAATGGTATTTCGGAAAAATTGCCCGAAATCTGTGATGGTACCCCTTTAGAATCTGCCAAAAATGGACCCGGAATAAATTCGCATAAATCGACACTTAATGGACTTAATCATCGTTGAAGAATAGCCTCGGGCCGAATCCGTGATCTGTAGCCTTCAAAATCCAAAGAAAATGGCTTTTCGTAGCCAAAAAAATTACGAAAATGCCATCCGAATATAAATTGGCCCAAATCGGAGCTTAATGGACTTATCATCCGTGGAGAATAGTATCAATAGACTTCATTATCGGTGGATATAGGCTCGGCCAGATTCCGTGATCAGCCTCCTGAATCTAAAGAAAATGGCATTTTAAAAAGTTGCCCGATATATGTGATGGTACCCCTTTAGAATCTGCCAAAAATGGGCCCGGAATAAATTCGCCCAAATCGGCACTTGGTGGACTTAATCATCGTTGAAGAATAGGCTCAGGCCGAATCCGTGATCTGTAGCCTTCAAAATCCAAAGAAAATGGCCATTCGTCGACAAAAAAATTACGAAAATGCCATCCAAAAATAAATTTGCCCAAATCGGTGCTTAATAGACTTATCATCCGTGGAGAATAGTATCAATAGAATTCATTATCGGTGGATATAGGATCGGCCTGATTCCGTGATCTGCAGCCTCCTGAACCGAAAGAAAATGGTATTTCGGAAAAATTGCCCGAAATCTGTGATGGTACCCCTTTAGAATCTGCCAAAAATGGGCCCGGAATAAATTCACATAAATCGGCACTTATGGACTTAATCATCGTTGAAGAATAGCCTCGGGCCGAATCCGTGATCTGTAGCCTTCAAAATCAAAAGTAAATGGCCTTTCGTCGCCAAAAAAATTACGAAAATGCCATCCGAAAATAAATTGGCCCAAATCGGTGCTTAATGGACTTATCATCTGTGGAGAATAGTATCAATAGACTTCATTATCGGTGGATATAGGCCCGGCTTGATTCCGTGCTCTGCAGCCTCCTGAATCGAAAGAAAATGGCATTTCGGAAAAATTGCCCGAAATCTGTGATGATACCCCGTTGGAATCTGCTAAAAATGGGCCCGGAATAAATTCGCACAAATCGGCACTTAATGGACTTAATGATCATTGAAGAATAGCCTCAGGCCGAATCCGTGATCTGTAGCCTTCAAAATCCAAAGAAAATGGCCTTTCGTCGCCAAAAAATTTACGAAAATGCCATCCAAAAATAAATTGGCCCAAATCGTTGCTTAATGGACTTATCATCCGTGGAGAATAGTATCAATAGACTTCATTATCGGTGGATAATGGCTCGGCCTGATTCCAGTGATCTGCAGCCTCCTGAATCGAAAGAAAATGGCATTTCGGAAAAATTGCCCGAAATCTGTGATGGTACCCCTTTGGAATCTGCCAAAAATGGGCCAGGAATAAATTCACCCAAATCATCTCTTAATGGACTTAATCATCGTTGAAGAATAGCTTCATGCCGAATCCGTTATCTGTAGCCTTCAAAATCCAAAGAAAATGGCCTTTCGTCGCCAAAAAAATTACGAAAATGCCATCCGAAAATAAATTGGCCCAAATCGGTGCTTAATGGACTTATCATCCGTGGAGAATAGTATCAATAGACTTAATTATCGGTGGATATAGGCTCGGCCTGATTCCGTGATCTGCTGCCTCCAGAATCGAAAGAAAATGACTTTTCGGAAAAATTGCCCGAAATTTGTGATCGTACCCCTTTGGAATCTGCCAAAAATGGGCCTGGAATAAATTCGCCCAAATCGGAAAATAATGGACTTAATCATCGTTGAAGAATACCATCAGGCCGGATCGGCAATTTGTAGCCTTCAAAATCACAAGAAAATGTCCTTTCGTCGCCAAAAAATTACGAAAATGCCATCCGAAAATAAATTGGCCCAAATCTGTGCTTAATGGACTTATCATCCATGGAGAATAGTATCAATAGACTTCATTATCGGAGGATATAGGCTCGGCCTGATTCCGTGATCTGCAGCCTCGAGAATCGAAAGAAAAATCGGAAAAATTGCCCGAAATCTGTGATGGTGCCCCTTTGGAATCTGCCAAAAATGGGCCCGGAATAAATTCGCCCAAATCGGCACTTAATTGATTTAATCATCATTGAAGAATAGCCTCAGGCTGAATCCGCGATCTGTAGCCTTCAAAATCCAAAGAAAATGGCATTTCGTCGCCAAAAAAATTACGAAAATGCCATCCGAAAATAAATTGGCCCAAATCAGTGCTTAATGGACTTATCATCCGTGGAGAATAGTATCAATAGACTTCATTATCGGTGGATATAGGCTCGGCCTGATTCCGTGATCTGCAGCCTTCTGAATTGAAAGAAAATGGCATTTCGGAAAAATTGCCCGAAATCTGTGATATTACCCCTTTGGAATCTGCAGAAAATAGTCCCGGAATAAATTCGCCAAAATCGGCACTTAATGGACTTAATCATCGTTGAAGAATAGCTTCAGGCCGAATCCGCGATCTTTAGCCTTCAATATCCAAAGAAAATGGCCTTCCATCGCCAAAAAAATTACGAAAATGCCATCCGAAAATAAATTGGCCCAAATCGGTGCTTAATGGAATTATCATCCATGGAGAATAGTATCAATAGACTTCATTATCGGAGGATATAGGCTCGGCCTGATTCCGTGATCTGCAGCCTCCTGAATCGAAGGAAAATCGCATTTCGGAAAAACTGCCCGAAATCTGTGATATTACCCCTTTGGAATCTGCAGAAAATAGTCCTGGAATAAATTCGCCCAAATCGGCACTTAATGGACTTAATAATCGTTGAAGAATAGCCTCAGGCCGAATCCGCGATCTTTAGCCTTCAAAATCCGAAGAAAGTGGCATTCCGCCGCCAAAAAAATTACGAAAATGCCATCCGAAAATAAATTGGCCCAAATCTGTGCTTAATGGACTTATCATCCGTGGAGAATAGTATCAATAGACTTCATTATCAGAGGATATAGGCTCGGCCTGATTCCGTGATCTGCAGCCTCGAGAATCGAAAGAAAAATCGGAAAAATTGCCCGAAATCTGTGATGGTGACCCTTTGGAATCTGCCAAAAATGGGCCCGGAATAATTTCACCCAAATCGGCACTTAATGGACTTAATCATCATTGAAGAATAGCCTCCGGCCGAATCCGCGATCTGTAGCCTTCAAAATCCAAAGAAAATGGCCTTTCGTCGCCAAAAAAATTACGAAAATGCCATCCGAAAATAAATTGGTCCAAATCGGTGCTTAAGGGACTTATCATCCGTGGAGAATAGTATCAATAGACTTCATTATCGGTGGATATAGGCTCGGCCTGATTCCGTAATCGAAAGAAAATGGCATTTCGGAAAAATTGCTCGAAATCTGTGATGGTACCCCTTTGGAATCTGACAAAAATGGGGGCGGAATAAATTCGCCCAAATCGTCACTTAATGGACTTAATCATCGTTGAAGAATAGCCTAAGGCCGAATCCGCGATCTGTAGCCATCAAAATCCAAAGAAAATGTCCTTTCGTCGCCAAAAAATTTATGAAAATTCCATCCGAAAATAAATTGGCTCAAATCGGTGCTTTATGGACTTATCATCCGTGGAGAATAGTATCAATAGACTTCATTATCGGTGGATATAGGCTCGGCCTAATTCCGTGATCTACAGCCTCCATAATCGAAAGAAAATGGCATTTCGGAAAAATTGCCCAAAATCTGTGATGGTACCCCTTTGGAATCTGCCAAAAATGGGTCCAGAATAAATTCGCCCAAATCGGCACTTAATGGACTTAATCATCGTTGAAGAATAGCCTCAGGCAGAATCCGTGATCTGTAGCCTTCAAAATCCAAAGAAAATGGCCTTTCGTCGCCAAAAAATTTACGGAAATGCCATCCGAAAATAAATTGGCCCAAATCGGTGCTTAATAGACTTATCATCCGTGGAGAATAGTATCAATAGACTTTATTATCGGTGGATATAGACTCGGCCTGATTCCGTGATCTACAACCTCCATAATAAAAAGAAAATGGCATTCGGAAAAATTGCCTGTAATCTGTGATGATACCCCTTTGGAATGTGCCAAAAATGGGCCCGGAATAAATTCGCCAAAATCGGCACTTAATGTAGTTAATCATCGTTGAAGAATTGCCTC